TAGATAAATAGTGGAAAGTCCAATGGAAATACATATATGGACCATAGAGAAGAAGGAGGAAAATCACTATATAACAACTGGACAGTTAGCGGTAATAGAGTGACCTCTATTGACGCTAACAATCTAGAAGGTGTTCTCTTAGCAATACTTTACGATTATAACTTACTCCATTTGGGTCTAAGGAATTATTCCACATGGGGTAAATGTATGGAGTGTTTTTGCTCGGAGAACTTTTTGTAAGCTTTGTAAAATAAAGACAATCTTTAGATATAGTCTAAAAATTATTTTAGAATAGTGGAGAAGACTGAGCTGTCGACTGGCAAAAAAAGAAGCAAAAAAAAAGCATCAGTTTCTCAACGATTAGGATTTAAAAACATATTTAAAAATGGCTGAGATTATATATCAGACCCAAATGGAGTAAGTTATAATCGTAAAGTACTGCTAAGAGAACACCTTCTAGACAGATGTACTAACAAGACATTAAGAAAATTTTTAATAGATGAAAAATAAAAAAGTATATAATTGTTTTGCTGAAGACCGCTGATTTACTTTATACTTGTGCTCTCTATTACTCAGTAGTTTATAACAATCAAGTTAAACTAACAATCAATGGCTCATTAAGATATTTTGATAAAAGTTTGAAGAAACGTACGACTGTTTCTGCTGCTTCTTTTGTGTATTCATCACATTGTTTTTTATAATCATGAAGCAGCATATCAATTTCCCGTTCAGTCACTGGTGTTTCTTGATGAGCTTTTGGCACACGAGCATGTAAAAGTGTTTTTATCTGCCGTACTAGATCAGAAATTGATAAGTTAGCATCATTTTCTTTAATGAAATTTGGTAATTGTTGATATCGTTCTTCTGTTTGTAATAAAGGAATATATTCGTCTCTGGCAGCTCGAAACGAAAGATGTGGTTTGATAAATTGTACCAGTTTATTTCTGAGTTGCATGGCAATATTGCCGATCTATATAACGTTATCATTGTTCTCAAAATTTTCCAAAGAAGAAACATGTGCTTCTAATGCATTAATCTGTTTTCGTAATCCTTGATTTTCTTTTTCCATATTATTAAATATTTGACGAATGTTTTCTTTGATATCTTCATATTCCGATGAGTAATAACAATCTGATGCTTCGTCTGCTAACAATATATCAAATACTTCGTTTAATAATTCTTGATTTGTTAATTCTTCGGCTGTTTCAGAAGTTGATTTCATTAATTTACTTGTTTCTGAAGATTTTTTCGATTTTGATAGAGTAAAATTATTTTTTGTCAATAAGTCATGTGTTTGCACAATCAACATTTGCAATGAATTTGAATCATCATCATTATATTGACTTAGAAGTAATTCAAGTTGCTGTTTTAATGGTTTTGACACAGGTAGACGTGAAACAATATCTTTAAATTTTTGCATAATGCCTAGAGACAAAAAAATAATAGTAAAAACTATTTAGTTGAAGAAATCAGAAGCTGAAATTTTCTTTAAAACACTTTCCGTAATAATTCTTTCAGAGTTGAAATAAGAGAATACATTTTAGAAACAGAAATTAAAGTATATATGATTTGTGACGTAATATCTTATCTCAAAATTCTGGTTCTTTGGTACTTTTATGATTCTTTCACACTAGTTACTGGAAAAATTGCATGAAAGTCTGATTCAAAACTGATAGTACCGTTTTGTATTCAACTGTTCTCCAGTATGTGCCGATATTGATGGCACGCTTCGATGATTCTCCTTCCTCCTCCTTCTGTTCTCTTTCCATTGTTCTAATATATCTCTCTCCTGTCTCTCTTCTATCTCTCTCCTATATATACGTGTGT